TATTCAGTGAATTACGTATGACATCATGCCCATTGTGAGAATATTCTAACTTTCCATCAGCTTGGGATAAGATACTACCTGGAGTGTATAAAAGAACATAATCCGCCGTGTAACCTCATTGAGAAGGTGCTCTACCAAGAACACTGAAGAGTGCAGAATTGTGCTGCTATTCACAGCCTGTTGCTGCATTACTCTATTAAAGATAACACAAACTCACAGTTACTCTCTAAAGAGATTTTCTCGTTTGAAATGGAGTTCTCTATCAAAGACATTTTTTTTAACGCAACGCTCCACTTTTCCCTTTCACTGCAACAATGTGCCCAACTTCTCTGTCACCTTTTATTTACTCTCTTCTCTTTCTCCCCCAGTCAGATGTGTTGATAATGCAGCCTCCGCGATCACAAGCTGCCTTGTAAACATCAACTCGTAGCTATTTTATATGGAGATTAGCCACATTTACTAACCAGTTTTATCATTTATTTGTTCCTGTAATCAGTGTGGATTGTTTATTTTGAGCGAACGTTGGTGACTCGCAGCTCTTACCCCCTGTGATTTTGTGCATGCTGATGCGCCCACACGCTGTTTACTGAACTGATCCGGCGCATGGTTTTGATTAGTTTCCATCTACTTATTGGCTGAGGCTCAAGTTAATTAAAGCCCCATGTTGTGTTAATGTTTGTTTCTTTCTTATATTTTATCTTCAGTCAGGAAATTCAGCATATGTAGCAGTGCTGTATGAGAGGCTGGTTTGATAGCTGCACATGCCGGTGCAGATTCCTGTTTGGTCTGGGTGGCAGGCTGCTGTTTCTCACGCAGACAGAAAAGCTGCAGAGTTAGATGCAGAAAGAGGATCCGTCTGAAATATTGATGAGACACCAGACTTTTCTGCTTTGAGAGCAAAAATTATTTTTTCACACAAACCCCCAAAAGTGACACATCTGTTGTGTTAATGCCTCTGTATGCTTCTTTTTCGTGCCTGCCTCTGTATGGTGTCAGCGCTAGATTCAGAGAGGTGAAAGGCCTCTCCAGAGACTCTCTGCCATCAGTGACAGAGAGCTTACCTCTTCTGAATCTGACTCCAGCTCATCTAGATCAGTTTACATCAACACAAGGACTGACTGAAGAACCTGTAGATGGAAAAGCTTCCGCATCTCAGCTGTCATACCTGTGTCTTTGTCTGTATTTGAAACAGGACGGGATTGTTTACGTCAAATGTGAAGCTCCTGAAAGCCAGTAAATGACAACTTTTTCTCATCTTCAAAGGAAACTTTTAGATAACTAGAGGGCTTTCTCTGTACTTTTAGCATAGTGTTGTAATTTCCAAACTGTAGTGCCTGTTCTACATAAATAATAAAAAAATATTTCATCTGAAGTTTGAGACATACATTGAAGTCTTTAAATACAGTTGAGACTAATTTAAGTACAGACCTAGTCCTAAGACACCAATGAGTCACCAGTTAATGTAACAGACATGTTTTTGTAATGTGGAGGAAGCCAAAATACTGCTTCAAACTTTAAAATTGCACTTTGAACGTACATTATTAACTTTATAAATTTGTCAGACTTAGTTATCCAAACCAAACTATTTTAAACAGTAAAGAACATGTCAATGTGATTGAAAAGTGAAAAGAAAAAACATCCACATGAAGACATCTGTTACAGTGACAGCCCTGCTGAATAATGAAGGACTTAAATACTGTTACTCCTCTATATCTATCTATCTATCTATCTATCTATCTATCTATCTATCTATCTATCTATCTATCTATCTATCTATCTATCTCATCTAGTTAGTTGAGTTTTATCAGGAAACTCATCAACAATTAGAAGAGAATATTTTCTGAATTTTCCAGACATTTAATGTATGAATTTAAACTGAGAAAAATCGCCTTTCCTGGATCAATTTTTTTAAATCATGATTTACAAAACATTTTCAATTCAATACAAGTCAATACCTATTGTTGCCACTAGATGTCACAAGATATCTTACAAACAACTTTATGATTTATTTTTAGAAAAAATGTTTGTGTAGTTTAAGTAACTCTCTTGCTATCGAAATAATAAGCTTATCTCCAAACTAATTACAGTTTAGATATTCCCTCTTCTTATGATATATTAATATTTTAATACGACTATATTCACAAACTTCCAAAGCTAAACGTTTAATTTTTTACAAACAAATATACAACATTGTGTACGGGGAACTAATATTTTTCAAGTTCTGGAGCTATTATATAAAGTTGCAAAGTTTTTATATATTTTTTTTTGTAACTTTTCGTCCTTGTTTACATTGTAGGTGTCACTTGAATTACAGAGAAATCCTTCAATGGAAAAAGAAGAAAAAACAACTGCTATCTGCCTTTCTAAGTAAATTTTGCGGTTGGCTTCTGTTTTTGTTTCTTTTTCTTGTTGACGGTTGGTAAAACACACACTGTTATTTCCCTCAGTCATTTTTGCCCTCTAATTATCACTGCATAATCTTGTGCACTATGAGAAAATCTTTGATCCCGTGCCACTTAAATGAATTTTAATGTAAGCAGTCGTATGAAATGATAATAATTACCCCTCACCATAGAGGCACATTTTAACTGGGAATGCATTCTGCATGCATGTTGTAGCTTGTTAGCACATTGGCATTTTACAATGGTGTAAACTGCTCCCATCATCCAAGACATCACATCAAGACTGACTTCACACTAAACATACTATTTTTTACTCATATTTCCTCTTAGCTCCTTTGAAGCTTGATCAACACAAGAGGAAACAAGTTCACTCTTACTTTCTAACCTCAGCGCAAGAGGTGTTTTTTTTTTATTTTTTTATTTTTTACCTGCCTCATTTAGCTCAAAACCACCTTGTCTTGGCAGATCTTCACTGCAATCACTCACCACTGGAGGAAAATGGTAAATATGATACATTTTTTAAAAACCTGTTGGATTGTGTGAAAGACAGTTACAGAAGAAAATGTCAGTAAGGACATTCATCAGAAAAGAAAGGACTGCGAAATTAAAACAGCTTGATACCTCTTCAAACAATATGTGGTTGTTTTTTCATGTACCACAAACTCGTGCAAATTACCCACAGGTGGAGTTCAAATTTAGTTTCTGTCTTAGTTTGTGTTCTGTCTGAATCATGAAATTTGCCTTTATTCAAGAAGTAGATTATTGGGACATTAGTTCATTTGAAGTACACATTTGCATAACTGTTTTAAAATCACACGGATGATAATAATTTGATTTGATTGTGTCGGAGTTCCCATAGTGTTACTCCATTGCAAAGTCATGAATAACTGACGTGAAATAAATCAAAAATTTTTGCAAATTAGATTTAGAAAAGTATTACATATGTAAATATACAGATGTTATCTCATAACCGTAAAGTCCAGTGCAGCCAAACATGTTCAGGAGTCACCTAATTAGTAGCCAGAGGCTATCTGTGTTTATGTTGGAATATAAATTTAGAAGTTCAGTAAATAACTGAATAAAAACAGGAATGCACCTGAGGAAACGTTGTAGAGAAATTTAGAAGAGTTTGAACAATGTGGCTCTCTTCCAGTCATCATCTGAAAATCTAATAAATATACCGCAAATCTACAAAAGACATGAATGTTCACTGTGTCACAACCGTCAGCAATACTATTGTCAAGTTTGGATTTTATAGAGAAGTGATAAAAAGACTGTTATTGCTTAAAAGAAAAATATTGATTTTTTTTCTCCCTTTCTGCAGTTGTAGAGTTTTAACTACCGGCATTTTCTTTATCCTTTCCCCCTCCTATCTTCATATCTCATTTCCATTTTAACTATTTTTCCCACTTATCTCCTTTTGTGTTTTCCTCTTTCTTTTCCATTTTTATGCCCATCTAATGAACCACAAGTGTAAACATACAATCAGGGCTACAAGAAAATTGTTTATATCAAGGCATATTCATATGAAAGAATGGCCCGATGAAGATCCAGATCCAAATAAATGTATGTAAGCTTTTCATTTAATCTGACTGTACCTGGCATATTTTGGAAAGAAATGGGCAAGATTTCCATGTTCAAAGCTGGTAGAGGCGTACGCTCCAAGGATCGCAACTGTCTGCACAGAGAAGTGATCCATCAAAGTATGGACTCAGCAGGGATGAATACAAATACACACCGCACTTTTCAGAATTTTATTTGTAAACATTTTAGAAAAGGTTTCCTTTCACTCCACATTTACTTTGTGCCTGTTATATAAAATCATCCTATAAAATACACAAACATTTGTGTATTTATTATTATTATTATTTTCAAAGATGCAAGGCACTCCACTTGACGTCATGGTTACTACCCACTTCATTTAACATCTGTAATAGTTGCATTAGGATGTTTTCATGTTAGCAATGAGACAGTGAATTGATAATAATTGGTTTTCAGCACGTTGTGCCTCAAACATCAGCAACCTAAAATGCAATCTATATAAAGCTATATGAACCAGAGCTGACAAGATAAACCATGAAGCGCCTCAGCAGTGCCGTTAGAGAAAATGTCACTCTTATCACGGAGGAAGACAAAAACAAAATTGGCCTTATCATCTCCACCACATAAAGTTTTAAGAATTGCACTTGTGCATCCAAATTCATCAAAACTGCTGAAGTGTCCTTCCCTAGATATAGAAGCCTGCTGTGGCTTAACAGGTCCAGCATCACAAGATGTGGTGTGGATGACTGAAACAGAAGTCATAACAAGCGTAGGTGTAGGAGAGGGGCGACTGCAAGGAGCTTGTTAGGTGTGGCGCTGTGATATCTGAATTTAATCATGGAACCATCACCAGGCAGACCATGCAAACAACAAGGCAGTTTGTTTATTGTAATCTGTGTTTGCTTGATTCTGCAGCAGGAAAAATAAAAATAAAAAGCATCAGACGCAATATTTTCTCTCATCCTCATTGCTTCTGCAGAGGAAGGCACGTTTATCAGTGCATGTGTCCAAAGTCGCTTTTCATCTTGGGTTTAATTGTTCAAGTGCATTGTTAGATATAGTTCTGTTTTATTGTCATAAGACTCCTTCTCATCATCCCAGTCTCCTGAAGCCTCATACTGGGTGAACAAACTGGTAGACCAGTCTCTGAGACACGTCAGGCTTGCGGATGATTCCCTTTTTGTAGTACTGCCGAATGGAGCGGCTCAGCTTGTCATAATTCATAGCAGGCCGGTTCTTCCTGAGTCCCCACAGTCGCGCCACATGAGCCGAGTCTTCGATTTTAAAAATACCTGCAGGGAGAAACGGGAATCTTTAAAAACAAAGCAAAGCAAAAAGCACACATTGCAACAAGTACAAAACAGAGTGTGAATACATTTTTGTACTTCAGTCACAAGTCAAACACATGAGCTGAGAAAGAAAAGTACTGCAAGTTTTTCCAACCGCTGACCTGTAGTTTGTGGTCTTTTTTTTAAATTAAATAAATAATAATTAAATAAAATAAATTGGAGAAAAAATACAAAGTTATATAATTGGAAACTAATCGTACATTTTATTTTACTTATGTAAGCAAAAAATAATTCTTATCCAGAATTTGCAGTTCCAGAAAAACGGCAATGAATAAAATGAAGTAAATAAAATAAAAATGAAACAAAATGAACAAAATGTGCAGAGTTGGAGAATTTAGCTGGCCAAACTTAGCAAATGTTTAATATTTATACTTGTCTGTCCTGCATATTCTGGTAGAATGCAACTCACTGCTGAAAGAGGTTTTTTTTTTTTTTTTGTTTCATGGAGTTTGGGAAATAATTAATAAATTCACAACAATAACTATCTCTCTAAGTGTTCTAAACAATCACATGGCAAATATCAGTAAATGGATCTTAAACTTTGTGTCATACTGTCACTTTTCTGACGTCCTGCAGCAGCTGACTGTGCTGCAAGGCTAACACTAGTTTTACTAAAGCAGGAACAACAGATGAAGAGTCCTCTCTAACCAAGTTGATTTTATTTCTCTCCTCTATAACATGTCTTCTGCAAAACACCTTTTTGTTCCACTCATGAAAAAACTTCTTTCTTTTGAGTTAAATTACAGTATTTTTATGAACCACAAGTGGATCCGCCAGCACTGAAACCTCACTACTTTTTGCATTCCTATTTGTCATACTACCTTAAAATACATTTAGTAAAATGGCAGGAGATGCTGCACCTTTTTCTTTATTGAGCCAGCGTATGCAGCGACCATAGTTGTGAGGTTTGAGCAGCAGCTCTCGGAGGAACTGCCACAGATGAATCGGTTGACCCGAACAGGATGAATCTGCCTCGGACCAAAGCTCCTGACAGCCTGCATAACAAAACACAGGCATGTCCTCCTTTAGGCTGTTCATATCAACCAACTAAAATCTCACAAAGACATTTATTATTTGAAGCACACATAATGTAATAATTAAAATTGTGAACTTATAAATGGTGAAGTAGATTGGTTATGTGAAGAGAGGGGGAAAACGTGCGCTTTAGATTTATTGAGCCTCCTTTTGTTTGTGCTAATGCAGCTTTCGTAAAGGCTAGGTAATGTCCTTAAGTACAAGAAAAAGCAGTAGGAAATCAGTCTCACCTGTAGCTTTGGTATCTACAGCTGAGCACCTCTCTTTCATCCAGGCAGCTGGAGATAAAGGTGACAGACAATCAGTTGGAAGAAATTTACTCATTTCTCTTTGTGGTTTGTTAAATAAATGAAGACGTCATATACCTGACTTCCATATATCCAGGTGAGCGTACAGCGTGTCTCCGCACAGTGGGGAACGCTGCCGAAACTCCTCTTCGCTCATGGCACACAGGTCCTTCCCTGTCAGCTCCTGGAAGGCCTTTCCTGCCTGGGGCAACCTGTACAGGTGCTCAGTCCACAGCATCCACTTTTGGACATTCCCCATGTTCCACTCTGTAGGGTCTGTAATGAAACGGAAGAAATTCAAGCAACCTGTTCAGAATAATCACAACATGTGCAACAATTGGCTTACGCAAAGCCATTTTCAAGTGTATGTTCTCCGAATGTTGTCAGGCATAACTCAAAGTACATACAAGTTATTATCTTTTTTTTATGTCGCTGCAGTCCTAATCAGGTGAACAGATGACTGGGGATCACGTAGGTATATAACAGCCAGAAGCAATACAATGCAAAAAAAACGTTTCCTTTGTTTGCTTTCCAAGCAGCCGAGACCTCGCCCTTAAGACTGTGTACACGGCTGCTGCCAGGAGAGAATCATCACTGTCACAATTCAGGGAAACTTGTTCAAAAGGTCAGGATTAAACAGATCCTGGAGCAGGCAAACATAAGTTTGCGTCAGTAAGGATATGATTGGGAACAGCTGTCATCTTAGCTGGGCTATTTACACAAAAACTTGTTGATTTTGGGAGTAAGATTGGTTCTCCGACTTAGCAATTCTTTTATCTGGCAAAATGAAATGCTCATTTCATTTTGCCAGTTAGATGCATTAATGTTCTTCAAAATGATGAAGTGCAGCAACAGGTGTGGTGCTGGTGAACAGCCTACCTGAGGTGATGTTGAGCAGTTTGCAGGCTGTTTCGATGTCCTTCAGCACCTCTCCTACGACCATGCTCTGCACCTGCTCCAGAGAACGGTCCTCCATCTGACCCTCAAGCCCAGGAGAGAGTCCATGCTCCTGGCTATCAATGACAGGGCACTGCTCTGGCTCCTCTCGGCTATCCATGCGGCTCATGGGTACGGCTAGTGCAGTGGACCCCTCCGAAACTTTCACCACCCAGGCGGCATCTTCAGTGAGGAGCATGTCGTAGCAGGAGAGGTAGAGGCCCGCTCCACGCTCCAGAGCTTCTATGTTGGGTTTGATGTCAACTGTGTCCCAGGGGTCTTCAGAGCATCTGGTTCGCTCGTGGAAGACGAGTGAATCCTCTGTCATCCCAATCCGGGACACGAAGTCAGAGCTCTCTGGTAAGCCGCTCGGTGGAGTCGACATCTGAGGAGAAAGACAGAGAGAAAATCTGAAAGTCATGCAAGCATCTGAATGACCTGGAAGATGCCAGAAAAAGGATCAACGTAAATACACCACTAACACTTGAACCTTGTGGGAGCTTACCTTGTCAAATTATGTCTTATTCTTATTCCTCCAAGTGCTAAAGTACCAACTATCCTCCCAGAATCACCATCCTGTGTTACACAAGGAGCTGATTTGAGACTGGGTAGTTCTTCCTTTATAGCTTTCCCAAAGTCAAAATGAGATTCTCAGGAGATAAACCTCAAGGGAGAGTAAAAGGACACCCACCCCTGGCAGGCATGAGGCAAAATGGATTTGACTGAGTCTCTTATTTGTGGGTCAGTGGCCCAGAATAGTTCTCATCTTGGGGGTGGATGACTTGTATTGAGACCTGAGGTAGCCCTGCTGCCACTTTCAGGCTTTCAAGGTACCGTCTTGGCGGCCCTCTGTCTCCAGAGTCAGCTGGAGATTTTAATCAAAAAGATAATAAAGACAAGAACATGAACAAAATGTGCCCAAAACCATGTGTCCACAAAAAAAAAGAAAAAGAAAAGAAAAAAAATCGTTTTCAAGTGAAAACCCTTATTGATGGGTGTGGGGTTCTTCCGAACAGGAGATCATCATCCAAAGTGAACATTTGCCTACGTAACCTGCGACAAAAGTGTAATCTCGCATATGGCACCAATAATTTCTACCTGCCACATCTGGCATATGGGAAGTCACACTACCGCCACACACCAGGTTATCAGTGATTGTGTCTGAGGTGGCAGTAAAGGAAGTGTGTCCCCACTGAGCACATGTTCAGTGGAGTAATGGCTTGATTCAGTGGAGGGTAAACAATTAAAGTCTCATAAAGTTTGCATAACAATAAATTGTACTTTTTAGGCCATATGCAACTTTAAAGCTAAGCTCTGAATAAATTCAATGGGATTTATTCAGGTTATGAGCCAAATTTTAGATTTGATTTCTTTTCTATCCAAAGTTTATATCTTCTTTTCCAAACGTCTTCAAAGTTGAATTATATTATCACTCATATTTTGTGAAGATTCCTCTATCAGCCCTTACTCCCCCAAATAAAAGCTCCTCCTCCTTGCTCTTCCTTTTATCTCCAAACTTTTGGTAAACTCCAGCCCATCCTCCACTTTTCTCCATCAGGAGTGAGATTAAACGCCTCTGGTGTCCCAGCTTGCTGCTGCGTGTCAACTCTGCTGTGCAACAGCTTGCGCTAAACCCATTAGCGAAGCAAATTTAGCCATATTACCTTCTTCCAAAAGGAAGAGAGGACACAGGAAAAAGATACAAGCTCACACCCCCTGTTGAGAGAGGGATTAAGCCTCTGACTGATCTCTAAATGAGTTTGGTCAAGACGCTGATATTCATTTCAGGAGCTTTAGAGCTTGCTCCATTTACTCCACAAAGAAAAGAACTCCTTCCTGGGAAGCTGATGTGTTTTCACCATGATTGGTTTCATTTTCTTTTCTAGAATCTCGAATGATATTTATTGCAAAAATACCCTCTGTTTTCATTGGAATGAAAAAAAAAATTGCCAGAAGGAATATTTTTTGAGGCCAAAAAGTAAATACTTGTGTTCTGCTTCCTCCTGAATTGAATGCAATTGCAGACCTGTGAAACCATTTGAGCTTAAAATTAACCGGTAATCTCCCATGACTGATGTGAGAAAATGTGGCAAAATGTTCAAATTAAAGTTAATAAGTCGACATTATACAACCCAAAAAGTATGGGCTTTGTTTAAAATTAATACTCAGAGGTGAGTAAGAACAAAAAAGGCCACAAATGTCATCTGAAATTCTTTATCTAATGGTGAAAATCATGTTGGCAGAGAGCTCTGCTGGTGTCATTTGAGTCTGGAGTTAAAGGAGTGTGAACAGCCAGGCGTGACTGTTTGCAGTGTGAGTGTTAAAGGGAGATCTCTCTCTTTTTTTGTTTTCCTTTCCTTGTTATTGTTTCTCATGGGAACTTTGGGCTAACTAAGGAAGTTAATTTGCAAAGAACAGGATTGAAGGAAGGAGCAGCATATGGCTGAACTTTACTGGATGAACTTCTGCTGGTTAGATTCGCTCATTTAGATCCTTTTTATGGCAATGCTAATAAAAGCAGGTGCTCAGCTCACACTGTAAATTACATTCAGACGTAACATGGGTCTGTTTATGGATATTTGCTTATTTTATGAATCAGAGGTAGAAGCCCATTTTTCATTATCTGCAGAGCCTGTTCTGTATATCATGTTCAGACCATCACAAAGCTCCTTTTCTTTTCTTTTCAGCAGGATTGTCATTACTAGCCCCTATGTGGGCTGGCATTGGGGGATGATGGTACACAGGATGAATCATTCCTGCAGTCAGGTGCACAGGCATCAGGCCAATATCCTTGGAAACTGAACTTCTGCAAAGACATTTTTTTCTGCTAGTCCTAATTAATTCTGTCAGAGAATTGTATTTGTTCTAAATGGCTGAGATAAGCCTTCAAACCTCCATTGGTAGATGAGCAAAAAAAAAAACATGTCACCTGGAAAGATGGATGAGGGAGCGGAAGTTATATGACCCAAGCCCCTGAAGCCTGATCCGAATGGTTCATTTTCATGGTTACTGAGGATATTTATCTTTATCAGCATCTACATCAGAATGGGATTTTAAGAGCTATACATGCTATCACTGTTCTTTTGTTTTTTATGTGGTGTAACTGCAGCCTGATCTCTTATTTATACCTGCTGGTGGTGTAGATTCGATTTTGGCCACAACTTCCCATTCCCTGTTAATCCAAAGCGGCCCCCCCCCCCCCCAAGTAAATCATTTGCTGTTACGCTAAATTCACATGCAAGTGACATGAAATTATCCCTGCAGTCGTGGTTCTTTTTCCATTTTGTTCTTCTAAAAGGAAAAGATCAAGACAAATGTCGGACAAGAATTTAAACTGAAAAAAAGCCCTAGAAGTATTTTCACTTTAATAAAATCTCTTTAGAGAAAAATAGCGTCTTAGTTGGGTTGCCACTGTCCAGCAAGAAAGAAATATTATTAGAAATGAATAGCACTGCTGAGAGCAGATTGTGGATGATTTTAGGTTTCAGATATAATAGTTACTCCCTTAAATGATGAGTTATTTATAATTTATCAGTGCACAGACATCCCACTCGTTTTTATAAAGCACAACTTTCTCAAACTACAGCAAAAATCTGCAACTTCAAAATAAATAAAAATTACATGGGGGAAATTTCCCCCATAAAAATGCAACTAATGTTCTCTTCTCAGATTTAAAACATTTGATCAAGATAAAATTAAATTATACTTTTATAGTTGTAATACTGAAACTGTTTGGCTGCAAAATCGCTCTTGAGCAGCCAGCCATCTTTATTTCTGATGATGATGGCACTGCAATCCCAACCTGGTGATTACATCAGACTGATAAAAAAAATTAACACAGAAATGTGAGCCTAATTAACAGTAGGCTTAATATCTGCTTCAAGGTTATTTTTCAAAAGGTATGTTTGAACTGATAAAAGAGCCTTGTTGAAATGCATATTCTGATTTATTGAATATGCAAAGTATCAGCAATTATTGGAATGAGGTGAAATTTTCAATGTAGGAATCAACAAGTTCATTTTGTAAAGCATTGATGCAACTGTACTAATACAGTTTAAATCTTTAAATGCCGTTATAATTGTATAAAATGACATGGATTTCTGTTGAAAGAGTTTAATATAATTCACATTTAAAGGTTTATTGTCGTTTCTATGCCTGTTCAATTGTGCAGCAATCTCCTTCTGGTTTCTAAAAAAAGATGAAATGATGATATCATTTTAACTCCAGACAAAGAGCTGCACAGTTGTTCCCTTTTAAATTGCAATATTAAAGAGACGAATCACAAAGACAAACATAAAATATTTAGGATCTAAGTTTAAGTGGTGTCTTCTTACCTCTGCAAAGATGGTCTGATGGAGAAAGCTTCCCTGCAGATGCGGTTCTCTGCCTGTGAACGAAGGTGAAGCAGGCAGTCCACAGTCTGTTTTTTCCTTGATGGCTGATGCTGAGCCCCAGGCTGAGGCCTGGGATCCCCCTTGTCAGCTTTTTTCTGGCACAATTTCACTGAACCTAAAAGACACAGCCTAAAGCACAACAGCAAACTAAACCTCAAGTGAAAGCACCTGCTGGGGGTGTGTACAAAGTGAAAGGGAGAGAGGACAAGTGACTGGGTGACTGAGTGCAAAGGAATTCCAGCACCATTGACTGCAATTTATATTTATAAGGCCGTTGTGTTTACTTACGCACACAACCCAGAGCATGTGTGTGCGTGTGTGTCTTCACGTTCGTGTGTATCCATGCAAGCACAGAGTTTCCTTCCAAATTAATAGTTGACTTCAGAGCTTGAGTGAGAAAATTGAAAGTGCCACTTTAAGTGTTACAGACAAATGCCACATTGTAGTCATGCT